GTCAGTGATGGTCTTTATATACAGTCAGTGATCGTCTTTATATACAGTCACTGATGGTCTTTATATACAGTCAGTGATCGTCTTTATATACAGTCACTGATGGTCTTTATATACAGTCACTGATGGTCTTTATTTAAAGTGTATCTCTCTTCCTTCAGGTTAAGTGGATGTAAACTCTCACAGAGAAGCTGTGAAGCTCTGTCCTCAGTTCTCAGCTCTCAGTCCTCCAGTCTGACAAATCTGGACCTGAGTAACAACGACCTGCAGGATTCAGGAGTGAACCTCCTGTCGGCTGGACTGAGGAGTCCACACTGCAAACTTGAGACACTCAGGTCAGATCACACGGTTTTTGTTTTTCCTCTGTTTTTGTAACACTGAGTTTATTTGCCCCTCCATGGATAAAAAACAACATTTTTCCATGACAACTTCAGTGTGATACTGGAATCAGTGTGATTTTGGTTTCTAAAGGCCTGACTCACAAATATGCAAACCTTTACTGAAACATATAAAATATATTTGCATGTATTGTTGACAGGTTGCAGCCAGGTTTCTGTTAAACATAATAGATCGATTTGATGATCAGTAATCAGATCTTTAATAAGTATTGATTTTATTTACATCAGGTTGAGTCGAACCATGTTGACGGAGGAATGCTGTGAAGCTCTGTCCTCAGTCATCAGCTCTCAGTCCTCCAGTCTGACAGATCTGGACCTGAGTAACAACGACCTGCAGGATTCCGGAGTGAACCTCTTGTCGGTTGGACTGAGGAGTCCAGACTGCAAACTGGTGACTGTCAGGTCAGGATTCGTCTATATAACAAAAATCTTAAAAACTGAATGGTAAACAAAAATGATCGCCTTATACAGTCACTCTCAGATCAGGATTCTGCTGCTGTAAAACCTCAGTGAAAATTATCATCATCTTTTAGGATAAATCTACTAAAATACAATATTATATATGTATATATATCATACCAACCATCAATCAGAAAATACATTTCATTGTTAATATGTAAATTCATTCAGATTGAGGCATTATTAAATTCTTCTAAATCATTAATGGAATTATTACATCTTTATAAATCTAAATGATCAACTGAAGTCCAGCTGAGTTGCATTGCAGATGTGTTTTTCTTAGCTCCTTGCTTTTTGCTCTTTTCTTTATTCCCTTTTTCTTTCTAATTGATCTATTTTAAGGAGAGAAAACCTCTGCTCATAACCAACAGAATTTAAATTTTCACTTTTGGATTGAGTTGAGACAAGACTGTTTGGAGTTTTGAATTTCCCTCCGGGGATTAATAAGGTATTTCTGATTCTGATTCTGATGTAAACTGCTGCAGGAGCTTGTGTGAACGTGGCTCCAGAGAATATCAGAAACATGTAGGCTAAAAACATGGGTAAATTATGTTGTTTTCAGTTTAATTTAAATGTTGGGGCTTATGGACACTTGGATGGCAACACAGGAGCAGTATGGAGGCATGTTATGTTTTTTCTGTTGTTTTATTACACCTGAAGAATCTGTCACATTTACTTCAATTGTATAGAATTTGGCCCCCGGCCCCCCAGTCGTTGAGACAGATGCTGCAGCAATGGACAGTCTTGTTTTCTCAAGATTAGAGCAAGTAAATTAACCCTAACCTTTTGTGTGTGTGTGTGTGTGTGTGTGTGTGTGTGTCTGTGTGTGTGTGTCTGTGTGTGTGTGTGTGTGTGTGTGTGTGTGCGTGTGTGTGTCCAGGCTCTCAGGATGTATGGTCACAGAGGCAGGTTGTGTCTTTCTGGTCTCAGCTCTCACCTCTAACCCGTCTCACCTGAAGGATCTGGACCTGATGTACAATCATCCAGGAGCCTCAGTGGAGTGGCTGTCTGCTGGACTGGACACTGTTAGGTACCAACGCACAACAAGATCTCATACACTGTGTCTGTGTCACAATGACAAACTGAGATGACAGTGAATATAGTGGCTGAAGTTTCCTTATGATTTATTCTATGTTTCCTTTTTCAGGCTGGAATGTGGTGGAGAGCAGAGGATGAAACCTGGTCTGAGGAAATGTGAGTGTGTGTCTTCACTTTCAGAAAATCTGAGTTCACTGAAATCATTTGTGAATTTCACTTGCCAAATCATCTTTATCGCCCCCTGGTGGCTGCAATATAGGGTACAAACCCACTTCCCTTTGTTCCTTGTTTCTCTATAGTGAGACATGATCCCTGTTGTTTCTCCTGATTGGTCCCACTCACAGATCCTTGACACTGAGATTAATTATAATAATAACCACTAAGTTTAATTCTGAACTGATGTGTTTCCTGTGTTAACATCTAACTTCCATCATTTAGACCTTCTCCTTCCAGCAGTTCTTCAATAATCTCCCATTCGCATATGTTCTTACCTGCTGTGAGCAGGAGACTCTCCAAGTTGGCTTTGGCGATCCTGAGGCACAAGGGAGAATAGCATTAGTAAGATCCACTAGAAATTCCAATGAGTCTCACTCACACAATTTTCTAGGACCACCTTCTTAACGTAACATCTAAAAAATGTCCTGTCTCAAAAAGATGCAGAGAAACTAGTCCAGGTCATTGATACATCCAGACTTTATTATTGTAATTGCTTATTATCAGGCTCCAGCAGCGAGTCGTTAAAGACTCTGCAGTTTGTCAAAAATGCTGCAGCACGTGTCCTGACAAGAACCAGGAAAAAAGACCACATGTCTCCTGGCTTCAGGTTTAATCAATAATAGAATTTAGAATTCTCCTCCTCATCTTAATTAATAATATAGCACCATCATACCTTAAAGAGCTCATAGTCCCATATCCCACACATGGAGCTTCTCTTTCCTCTTCTTCCTCCTTATCACATTAAATAAATGAATGTCTCATCAATACATGAGAGAGCATACCACTGAACTGACTGAACAATGTGGCGATGAGTGGAGAGAGGACTGGGGTTCTTGTGGAGCTGCTGTTTAGGAGATTGCAACCAGGTGTGGAACTCACGCCAGTTGCCAGGAGTAGAGACTATCAGAGCAAGCCTTCGTCTTAACCCCCCATCTGTGGTATAAATGTTATATACAGTTAAACACTTCACTGTGCTTTTGTTCTCTTCACCAGACGCCTTTGATCTTACTCTCGACACAAACACAGTTCACAGAAAACTCAAAGTGTCTGACGACAACAGGATGATGACGTCAGTGATGGAGGAGCAGTTGTATCCTGATCACCCGGAGAGATTTGACTCGTGGCCTCAGCTGCTGTGTAACAATGCTCTGACTGGTCGGTGTTACTGGGAGGTGGAGTGGAAGGGCAGAGTAAACATTGCAGTTACCTACAGAGGGATAAAAAGGAAAGGGGAAGGAAGCAACTCCTGGTTTGGACGAAACTACCAGTCCTGGAGTCTGATCTGCTCCGATGTCGACGGTTACTCTGTGTGGCACGATCAGAGACGACAGGTCTGTCGTTACCCATCCTCGTCCTCCATCTCTCACAGAGTTGCAGTGTATGTGGACTATCCCACTGGAACTCTTTCCTTCTACAGCGTCTCCTCTGAGAATTTGATCCACCTCCACACCTACAACATCACGTTCACCGAACCGGTCTACCCCGGGTTTGGGTTTGCGTACCAATGGCCGGGTTCATCAGTGTCCCTATGTTCACTGTAGGATGCTTCTCATAAACATAATACACAAAAACACATAAAATTCTTCTCACAGCCATTCCCCCACTTCTATAAACAAGTGAGTGGTTTTAATTTTATATGATTATAATCAATTTATTTCTCATAAAGATGACGTTTAAATACTTTAGTTTTTTATAAACTGTAAATAAACTGGATGACATGACAGCTCCCAAAAGTGGAGCCAAATCATCTTGAATGCCTGTCTTCCTCCATGTTAGCAGATGGAACATAGACCTAAACACTCAAAGTAGACGTTAAATAAATGTTTGTCAAAGATGTTTTTGTGTTTTCAGGTCCTTCTCATCTCTCTGATGTTTGTTCAAGTGTTTTTGATCAGTTTGGTTTAATTAGTTATTTGATGACTCTGACTGCAAATTACATCATCATCATCATGAAATGGCAGCCTTTGTATGCAAGATATTTTGCCTTAATCCTGGAGGAAATGGAGGCATGTTGTCATCTTTATGTATATAATGTAAAATTGCAGTTAAAAATATAAATAAATAAGAAAATATGGGCACGGTATATGACCTATAATTGCCTTTCAAAATAAAACAATAAGCTAAATAAAACAATAAGCTATCAAGTTACTGTTGTTTTTGATGACTGACCATCACTGGTTCCTATGGGACCAACCAACCGTCACAGGCGAGAGTTAAACATGAACACAACAGGTCTCTGAATAACCATTTGAACAACCATGTTTTTAATTTTGCTTCTGCACATTGTACCTTTATATCAATAACCTTTTTAACATACAGCCCCTGAGTGAACAGCATCTGCACAAATGATCATTTTACTATTATCACCAAGCAATAAAAACATTTAAGTTGATGGACGAAGGAGAGTAGACACACACTGTTTCTGTTACACACACAAACTGAAGACAGAACTGAGACTTCCTGTTCTGTCTTTAAGTCTTTTAATTAAGACAATAGTTTTTGTTCATAATGACATTTATTTTTGAGCACTGCCTGATATTCAGAGGTGTTTCTAATCCATCCTCTCACCTCTCAATATGATGCAATAAAAACATCAATCAATTGAAACATTTCTAACTTCAGTCAAACATAAACGGATACATATTAATGTTATAGCCAATCCTTTTGTATTAAGATCCATACATTTACCATTTACATACTATTCACTCTAACCAATGCTGTTATTACTCTACTATTTCTCTGACGTACTGATGTAACTAAAATAAAACTGAATGACAGATTGTGTCGTAGTGACTCTGTTCCAGTTCCATGTTAAGTCTGCGTGCTCTCTGCAAATCAGGATAGCGCATGTAGCAAGGTCCATTTGAACGCTCCTGATTGGAGGGGGTACGTGTACTGGCAGGAATTGTTTTCCAGCTGAGTTAGGGTTCTGCATTAAGTTTCAGAGAGTTCGCTACGAGCAAATCTAGCCTTGAAGTTGTGACCTGGTAAATTAACAATAAATAACTAATGACATTAACAATAACTATCAATAATTCAATTCAAGTTTATTTGTAGAGCGGCAATTCATAATATACATTATTTCAAGGCTCTTTACAGAGAAGGTCAAGACCTTCAAATGCTATTTCATATAGAGAAACCAACAGTTGAACAATGAGCAGCACTGTGAGACTGTGGAGGAGAAACTCCCTCGTTAACAGAGAGAAACCTCAAGAACCAGACTCAGTGTGGAGACATCTGCCTCCACCAGGGGAGGAGAGAGACATGGGG